TTTTTTTTTTTAATAAAGTTTCTCCGCCAGCAGTCCTGCTAGGCTAGATTTTCTTTCCCCTCTTAAACCAATAAACTCCTTGAAACAGCAGTCAGTTGACTAACCTTTTGTTAAATAACGTTATAAACATTTCGTTAGTCAGATTTTTGTTCTTCTATCTAGCTGCATAAAGGTTTTTTGAAAGGCAAAAAAACGTTCTCATAAGGAATCAGATAACATTAATCGACAGAGATATTAGTGGATTATGACTAAGTCAAATCCCAAGAAAAAACTACTAAGCTAAAAAAAAAGTTTATATCTTTCCATTCAGTAAGCATGACTTAAAAAAGCTTACCAAAAAATTTTTATAACCCACCACATCCCAAGCAGACAAACATTTTAACTTTTTGTCCCCTTTAAAACAAACTGTTATTAAAATAAATAGTCTGAAAAGGGTTCTAATAATTTTTAATTTATTGCGTACCAATTTAGCACGTAACATAGCAACGGAACCACATATCTCTGTCAAAGCTCCGACAAAAGATCATTAGCGTAATGCCAAGAGACATTATGAAAAACTATACTAACTTATTGAAAATCCTCTTCCAAAATCTTTTTTCCAGAACAAATTTTCAAGAACAGAGGCAAACTATTTCACTGTTTTACTGAAAATTGTGGAAGCCCAGCCACCCAATTGCATAATCCGTAGCAGTTATGGAGGATTTTCAACAAATGTTGTTACCTCCGTCGATTAATTGGAAAATGCTTTTCATTAGCAATCAGTAAAATTACTTCACCAATCACCTGACAAAAACCTACCTTCTTCGCCGTTTATGCGCCAAAAAATGAATGTTTAAAGAACTTACTATTTTTCATGCATAAGAAATTATATTCATAGAGAAAGGTATTCCTAAGTACAAAATTCCACAGTATCTAGACAATAAAGTCAAACTAAAAGATAAAAATTAGAGCAAAAAGGTTAGTTAAATTTAAGTCCGAATTTTAGAAAACGAAGATGAATGTTTATTATCTGTCACTTCTCACAAGATTCTTTAAAAAAAAAAAAAAAA